GTCAATACAAAAATAAAAACAGATTGATTGGATAACTACAAACACCTTATTAGATTCAGATTGGTATAAAAATAAATAAAAATAAAAAAGGGAAAAAATAACAAATTAGTAGTTTTTTTAAAGAATAATTGCAGATTTATGGTAAATTTTACAAACTTCAATGATTAAAGTCATAATTTTTTTTTATGAATTTATAATTATTTTGAAAAAGTACCATTGATTTGTAATTTTTCCCAAAAAAAAAAAAAAAAGGAAAAAAAAGCATAATTTTCATTATAGACCATCCATTATTATATTTACATTGCCTCATCACATTTTATTTATCATGCAATGTATCTTTATTATATTGGTTTAACTGTAAAGTTGTCATTTGAACAATATGTTTTTTAAGGGAATTTCTTTTTTTTTGACTATTTTAATTTGGCATTAAAAGTTTTATAGTTTGACTTTTGGAAAATGAGTGAGAGCACTAATTAGTGCTATCACTAATGATGTGGCAGTGGGTCCCACCAGGAATGATTTGATGTTTTGGCCTTGGTGTTGTATTTTTTTTCTTTTTTTATTGAGTGTCATGTCATTAGTGGTCTTTTAGAGCTCCAAAATTAGTGGTCTCTATTATTGTTGTTGACTTTTTTAGTGCTTGAAACTTTGAGTTATGTTAAGGATTCTAAATAATATACTATTTTTTTTTTTTTCAAATCTCTTACATGGGTGTGAACCCACACACCTGGGTTTGCAAGGGGTACACACCTATGTGAGAGGTTTGATACAAAATTTAGTAGATTATTTGGAATCTATAGCATTTTCCTTTAACTTTTATGAGAGAAAAAATGAAATGATTATTGTTTGAATATGACATTTTGAATTTTGGGAAGATTGACTTTTTAGCTTTTTTAACTTTTTGGCTTTTTTAAGTCACATCATATCTTTAATTTTTTACACATTTAAAAAAAAAATCAAAAAATTAGCTTTTAACATACTTCTCAAAACATACTTTGTGTTATTAGTTTATTTAGTCACCGTTTGGCTTTGATTTTTTTAGTTGGCTTTTTTGAGTTGGGACCTTTTTAGCTTGAGATTAAAAAGTTTGTTTGGTTTGACTTTTTTTACTTTTGTGAGAGAAAAAATAAAATGATTATGATTTAGATATGATATTTTAATTTATTAACTTATTTAACATATTTTATCTTTTATGTTTAAGTTAGCCAAACGAAGGCTCGGCCTATTTTGTCTTTGTGTTTTTTTAGCCAAAAAAATCCATTACCAAACGAAAATCACATGATAAGTAAAATATATTGAAATAATATGGTAATAATTTGAAATAATAATAAAAAATAAATAAATAGTAAAATTTATAAAATTTAATAATTAAAATATTATTTTTTTAATAAATCTATAATTTTTTTTATAAAAAATACTACGAAATTATAATTTTAGATAAATTACAAATATACCTTTTAACGTTTACTTAAAATATGAATTGTTCTTGTGGTTTGAAAAACTACAGATCCATTCTTATAGAAATTTTTTATTTAATTGAAAAAAAAGAAGAAATTTCTTACTTCTTTCGTATACAATGATAAAATTACATGAATTGTTAATTGAAATAAATTTCTAATATTGTTAAAAATTATTAATTAAGTAGATGATTTATTAATAAAATAAATCATTTCTTATGAAATTAAAATTTTCGAAAGACAATATATAATTTCAAAAATTTCAAAAAAAATAAATTGTATTTTAAACAAGGGTGATGCACCAATAAATCCTAGATTGTTATCTTATGAATTGTTTGGTCCTGAAAGATTTTTTATGGACGGATAGGTCCTATTATATCCAATTTTACCGATAAGGGTAGTATAAAACAGGCGTGTATTACAATTTAATGGGCGTAATTGGTGTTTTACATCATGGGAAATTACAATTTTGAGGCAAATGCATTCAATGCACTCCTCTGTGGTCGGCTGGGAAAAATGGAAAGATTCTGGGAATTGATGTTACGTCGAGAAACATTGGAGTAGTTGAAATGGAATGTTAATTGTAACGAGTACATTCCCTAAAATAATACCAGAAAACCCTAGATTGAAGATAACCTCAAGATGTTACCCCCAAATGTGACATTGATTCGGGCTGTAGGTGGATGGGTGTGGAATTGTGAAGGGCGAAGTGACTGTCGATTGTTGAATGGGCTTAACACCAGTCGCTGTAACACCCGATTGTGGGTCAGTTAACACCAGTTGCTGTGTGAACGGCGTTGAGATTTGACCCTTCACGTGACAAGACAATGTCTAATGGAGGTATGTATGGTGGTTAATGTTCTGCGTTATAGTGGTTAATGTTATATGTATGATGTTTATGTGCTACGGCTAGTGGTTATTGTGATGATATGCATTTGGGGGCTTCGATGATAGGGTGGAGTTGAGTCTAGTGTTAAGTTGTAGTTTGTTTGCGTAGTGCTATGTTAGCAATTTAAGAAAGTGTTACAATAAAAAGGTGTGTACATGGGGTTATGGGGCTTGAATGTTGTGTTGTTGTGCATTGCATTTCATTTTGTGATGTCGTGTATGGGTAACACATACGCATATGTTGTTGGTTGGATACACAAATAATGTAACACGAATTAAATATCCTTCATATGAGTAATATACATGTGGTGCATTTGTAAGGGAGGTTTTTGTTGTTTGTGATGGTGTTAATAGGTATAGTTAGCCAAATTAGGTATGTTACTTGTATGTTGATTGTTGTGTGAATGTGCACATGCAATGTGATGATTGTCTTTTTGTTGGAAAATGGTTTTGCAAAATCCTTATTTTTTGCTAACTTTGAGCATTAATTAAGATGGGACCCAAGCGTTATTTTTAACGTTTCTAATTGGGTTCATGTTTAATGCCGAGTAGTGAATAACATCGTGCATTTGGTTACTCAAAACCATTTCCGGACAACATGCATTTTCAGGTTCGTGGAATGAATTTAGGTGGGTTTCCTACACAATTGTGAAATGTGCTTGTTCCACATTAGAAAGGCTTAAGGTTTTGAATGAGTTTATATACCTTAGTTTGGGATACTTAGGATAGACCCCAAGCGATACCTAAGTTTCTGGAAGGGTGAGGTTTTGGATAAAATATGCTAGACCCATTGGACCCAAAACAAAAACCACACGGTGGGTCGACTGGGTTGGGCCTGGGCTTGGGTGCATGGTGTGAGATTGGGTTGGGCTTGTCCGGCCTAATATTTATCTTTTTGGGCCAAAAATATTTGTAATTTATTTTTTTATTTTGGTTTCAAAATTCAAAATAAATTGGTCCAAATTTTTTCCTTCACCCAAACAGATCCTAACCCACCTGAACAGGTTCATACCTGTTGAATTTGTCCGAACAGATTCATATTTGTTGGCACCTATTCGAACAACCACCATTCATCCAATAAAAGGCCAGCCTTCCAGCAATTCAGAGATCAATTTTTTCCCTCAGAATTTCGTCCTTCTCATTTTGTGTTTCTGTATTTGTTCTGCATTTAATTTTTAGGAAAAAAGAGAAGGCATCATTATGAGACCCCTAACTTTTGTAAAGCCTATTACGTCCTAAAATTTTGAGTTATTATAATAAAGCCGTTACCTCTTCCTTTATTCACAAATTTAATCCTAGAATCGAAGACGCACCACAAATAAACCGTACAAGACCAAATCGACCCCGATAGCTTAGTAATCGTTTTTACATGCTAATATTAATTATTTAACTATGAGGCCCTTGATCTTTTTGTAATTTTATTTATACCCTTACTTTTGAACTATTTCAATAAAGACCTTCATTCCCTTATTTATTTTAGCTATAGAGCCGAAAATGCGCGCCAATCGAAAACTCGCAAATATTGATTGAACCCGAGAACTCAGAGAGCATTCCAAAGCCCTAATAATAATTACATTGATTCCCTAACTAAATTTTCCGCTCAAAAACCCTAGGCTTTCGGTTCTCATTATGACTCGTCGTTTAATTCGAAATAAAGAAACTTTAACCGATTTGAATTTCCAAATCCTAATTAAATAGTACATGTATCACTTGTGTCCTTCAAAGCTTTTGGGGAAGTATTTGAATCCTTTATTTTATTTTGAGAATTTTTAGTGTTGTTGTATCTTAGTTTTGAAGGAGTACAAATCAATTTAAACTTGTTGGGATTGCTCGATCATGCTTGTTTAGGTTGAAAAGTCATTTGGGAACTTAAAAATCTTGTTCTGTGGTTGGCACCGGTCTTGGTGGTGTCGACACCTTCCTTTTGTTGTTGGCCACAAGGGTCGACACCAGTCTGGAAGGGATGACCCTTGTGTGTTGTTGAATCTAAAAGTTGCTTTCTGTTTTTTAGTGTCCACACCAGTTTGGGAAGGGTCGACACCTTGCCTGTTGCACTCTTTGATTTTCTATCTGAAGAGTCGACCCCTGTGGCCGAAAGGTCGACACCTGCGTATAATTTTCAGCTTTTTGAGTTGGTTTGGGCCCTACTTTTTGGGGGTTTTTGACTTGTCCTTTTTATTTGACTTTAAGGTAATTCTCTACTACTATAAATAGACTCAAACTACTTTACTCTCATTACTTTTCCTCCTATTTTCCTCTCAAATCGTGATTTCTCTCTTCTCTCTCTAAAACTTGATTTTTCGCACCTAGATCTCTAGATCTACTCACCTAGAGTGATCTTTTCACTATGGTCCTTTGAGATTAAATGTAAATCTTGTCTAGAGTTTCGTTTTGATCCGAGTAGAAGTTGGTTTTGATATCTTTGAAATTTCAACCTTGTTTTGCTCATCTTCTCTTCTAAACTTGAGGTAGGGATTTTCTTTGAGTTATATATATGTTTTTGCAAGATCTAGATGATTTTCGAAATCGTCCTTTGATTTGTTTTTTTTTTTAAATGGATTATTGTTTTAAGAAGATGAGTGATTTTGAAAGTGGATTTACTTTCTTGTTTCTTTTAAAATAAAAATTGAGGGTTTTGAACTATGTTGATGAAAGAAAGATGGTTTTGGTGAGATCTTCTCAAATATTTGAAGATGAATGGTTTTTGGTGAGAAAACCTAGAAATTGGAAATTTTTAAGAAAGATGTTGAAAACCTTTAGAATATGTAGTTATATTTATTTTGTGTGCCAAAATAAATGATGTTTGAAAATTGTTTATTTATTACATATAAATGATGGTTTTCCATGGAATAAGAGAATTGTTGAAGTTTTGGAAATTGTTGTTTAAAAGTGTTGATATAGTCTTGAAATGACTAAGTTGTTGGAAATGTTTGAAATGCGGGAATTTTGTTATCCCTTGGATGAATTGAAATAAAAGTATTTATTCATCTTGTGAAATTGCATTGAAGTGAGAAACGAGAATTTTGATCACAATGGGAATATTGTCTGGGAGTATTGAAAGTGGAAGAAATATTGCATTGTTTTATTAATCATTGCAGTGGCATATCAATTCATTTGATTACATCAAACTTTGAAAGTTGATTTGAAAACTTGCATTGAGAAAAGAATGTTGAGAAACAAGTTTTCATGAAATGGTTTTGGGTTAAATACGGTGGTAAGTTAACATTTAGGGTAGGAACCAATTGAACCGTGTTGTTTGTTTGTGTTTTGATGCACTTATCACCACTTGACCTATTTTGATAATTAAATTTGTTTATTTTATAAGATCTTTTTAAGTAAATCAGTCAAATACAAAAATAAAAATAGATTGATTGGATAACTACAAACAACTTATTAGATTCAGATTGGTATAAAAAAAATAAAAATAAAAAAGGGAAAAAATAACAAATTAGTAGTTTTTTTTAAGAATAATTGCAGATTTATGGTAAATTTTACAAACTTCAATGATTAGAGTCATAATTTTTTTTATGAATTTATAATTATTTTGAAAAAGGTACCATTGATTTGCAATTTTTCCAAAAAAAAAAAAGACAAAAAAACATAATTTTCATTTTAGACCATCCATTATTATATTTACATTGCCTCATCACATTTTATTTATCATGCAATGTATCATTATTATATTGGTTTAACTATAAAGTTGTCATTTGGCAATATGTTTTTTAAGGGAACTTTTTGATTTTTTTTTTACTATTTTAATTTAGGATTAAAAATTTTATGGTTTGACTTTTTTAGTTTTTGAAACTTTGAGTTATGTTAAGGATTCTAAATAATATATTAAATTTTTTTTTCAAATCTCTTATATTGGTGTGGAACCCACACATGTGGGTTTGTAAGAGTTACACACACATGTAAGAGGTTTGATACAAAATTTAGTAGATTATTTGGAATCTATAGCATTTTCCTTTAATTTTTGTGAGAGAAAAAATGAAATGAATATTATTTGAATATGATATTTTAGCCCATTTTGGGAAGATTGACTTTTTATCTTTTTTTAATTTTTTGGCTTTTTTGGGTCACGTCATCTCTTTAATTTTTTACACATTTAAAAAAAAAAACCAAAAAATTAGCTTTTAACGTACTTCTCAAATCATACTTTGTGTTATTAGTTTATTTAGTCATTGTTTGGCATTAATTTTTTTAGTTGGCTTTTTGAGTTGGACTTTTTTAGCTTGAGATTAAAAAGTTCGTTTGGTTTGGTTTTTTTTACTTTTGTAAGAGAAAAAATGAAATGATTATGATTTAGATGTGACATTTTGATTTATTAACTTATTTAACATATTTTATCTTTTATGTTTAAGTTAGCCAAACAAAGGCTTGGCCTATTTTGTCTTTGTGTTTTTTTAGCCAAAAAAATCCATTACCAAACGAAAATCACATGATAAATAAAATATGTTGAAATAATATGATAATAATTTGAAATAATAATAAAAAATAAATAAATAGTAAAATTTAATAATTAAAATATTATTTTTTTAATAAATCTATAATTTTTTTTGAAAAAATACTACGAAATTATAATTTTTGATAAATTACAAACATACCTTTTAACGTTTACTTAAAATATGAATTGTTCTTGTGGTTTGAAAAACTATAGATCCATTCTTATAGAAATTTTTTATTTAATTGAAAAAAAAAAAGAAATTTCTTACTTCTTTCTTATACAATGATAAAATTACATGAATCGTTAATTGAAACAAATTTCTAATATCATTAAAAATTATTAATTAAGTAGATGATTTATTAATAAAATAAATCATTTGTTATGAAATTAAAATTTTCGAAAGACAATATATAATTTCAAAAATTACAAAAAAAAATAAATTGTATTTTAAACAAGGGTGATGCACCAATAAATCATAGATTGTTATCTTATGAATTGTTTGGTCCTAAAAGATTTCTTATGGACAGATAGGTCCTATTATATCCAATTTTACCTATAAGGGTAGTATAAAACGCGTGTGTATTACAATTTAATGGGCGTAATTAGTGTTTTACATCATGAGAAATTACAATTTTGGGGCAAATGCATTCAATGCATTCCTCTGTGGTCAGCTGGGAAAAATGGAAAGATTTTGGGAATTGATGTTACGTCGGGAAACGTTGGAGTAGTTGAAATGGAATGTTAATTGTAACGATTACATTCCCTAAAATAATACCAGAAAACCCGAGATTGAAGATAACCTCAAGATGTTACCCCCAAATGTGACATTGATTCGGGCTGTGGGTGGACGGGTGTGGAATCGTGAAGGGCGAAGTGACCGTCGATTGTTGAATGAGCTTAACACCAGTCGTTGTAACACCTGATTGTGGGTCAATTAACACCATTTGTTGTGTGAACGACGTTGAGATTTGACCCTTCACGTGACAAGACAATGTCTAATGGAGGTATGTATGGTGGTTAATGTTTTGCGTTATAGTGGTTAATGTTATATGTATAATGTTTATGTGCTACGGCTGGTGGTTATTGTGATGATATGCATTTGGGGGTTTCGATGGTAGGGTGGAGTTGAGTCTAGTGTTAAGTTGTAGTTTGTTTGTGTGGTGCTATATTACCAATTTAAGAAAGTGTTACAATAAAAAAGTGTGTACATGGGGTTATGGGACTTGAATGTTGTGTTGTTGTGCATTACATTTCATTTTGTGATGTCGTGTATGGGTAACACATACGCATATGTTGTTGGTTGGATACACACATAATGTAACACGAATTAAATATCCTTCATATGAGTAATATACATGTGGTGCATTGGTAAGGGAGGTTTTTGTTGTTTGTGATGGTGTTAATAGGTATAGTTAGCCAAATTAGGTATGTTACTTGTATGTTGATTGTTGTGCGAATGTGCACATGCAATGTGATGATTGTCTTTTTGTTGGAAAATGGCTTTGCAAAATCTTTATTTTTTGCTAACTTTGAGCATTAATTAAGATGGGACCTAAGCGTTATTTTTAACGTTTCTAATTGGATTCATGTTTAATGCTGAGTAGTGAATAACATCATGTATTTGGTTACTCAAAACCATTTTCGGACAACGTGCATTTTCAGGTTCGTGGAATGGATTTAGGTGGGTTTCCTACACAATTGTGAAATGTGCTTGTTCCACATTGGAAAGGCTTAAGGTTTTGAATTGATTTATATACCTTAGTTTGGGATACTTAGGTTGGGCCCCAAGGGATACCCAAGTTTCTGGAATGGTGAGGTTTTGGGTAAAATTGGCTAGACCCATTGGACCCAAAACAAAAACCACACGGTCAGTCGACTAGGTTGGGCCTGGGCTTGGGTGTGGGTGCGTGGTGTGAGGTTGGGTTGGGCTTGTCCGGCCTAATATTTATCTTTTTGGGCCAAAACATTAATAATTTATTTTTTTATTTTGGTTTCAAAATTCAAAATAAATTGGTCCAAATTTTTTCTTTCACCCAAACAGATCCTAATCCACCCGAACAGGTTCATACTTGTTGAATTTGTCCGAACAGATTCATATCTATTGGCACTTATTCGAACAACCACCATTCATCCAATAAAAGGCCAGCTTTCCAGCAATTCAGAGATCAATTTTTTCCCTCAGAATTTTGTCATTCTCATTTTGTGTTTCTGCATTTGTTCTGCATTTAATTTTTAGGAAGAAAGAGAAGGAGTCATTATAAGACCCGTAAATTTTGTAAAGCCTATTACGTCCTAAAATTTTGAGTTATTATAATAAAGCCCTTAGTTCTTCCTTTATTCACAAATTTAACCCTAAAATCGAAGACGCACCACAAATAAATCGTACAAGACCAAATAAACCCCGATAGCATGGTAATCGTTTTTACATTCTAATATTAATTATTTAACTATGAGGCCCTTGATCTTTGTAATTTATTTATACCCTTACTTTTGAACTATTTCAATAAAGACCCTCATTCCCTTATTTATTTTAGCTATAGAGCCGAAAATGCGCGCCAATCGAAAACTCGCAAATATTGATTGAACCCGAGAACTTAGAGAGCATTCCAAAGCCCTAATAATAATTAAATTAATTCCCTAACTAAATTTGCCGATCAAAAACCCTAGGCTTTTGGTTCTCATTACGACTCGTCGTTTAATTCGAAATAAAGAAACTTTAACCGATTTGAATTTCCAAATCCTAATTAAATACTACATGTAGCACTTGTGTCCTTCAAAGCTTTTGGGGAAGTATTTGAATCCTTTATTTTATTTTGGGAATTTTTAGTGTTGTTGTATCTTAGTTTTGGAGGAGTACAAATCAATTTAAACTTGTTGGAATTGCTCGTTCACTCTTGTTTAGGTTGAAAAGTCATTTAGGAACTTAAAAATCTTGTTCTGGGGTCGACGCCGGTCTTGGTGGTATCGACACCTTCCTTTTGTTGTTGGCCACAAGGGTCGACACTAGTCTGGAAGGGTCAACTCTTGTGTGTTGCTGAATCTAGAAGTTGCTTGTTGTTTTTTAGTGTCGACACCAGTCTGGGAAGGGTCGACACCTTGTCTGTTGTACTCTTTGCTTTTCTGTCTGAAGGGTCAACCCCTGTGGCCAAAGGGTCGACACCTGTATATAATTTTCAACTCTTTGGGTTGGTTTGGGCCCTACTTTTTAGGGGTTTTTGACTTG